ACCTATCTATCTATCTATCTATCTATCTATCTATCTATCTATCTATCTATCTATCTATCTATCCTTCCATCCATCCATCCATCCATCCATCCAATTCGCAGCATTATTTGTGCCATGTACAAGCCACAATTAAAACTAGACACAGTATTTAAAAGGGCCAGCACTATGTTTCTGAGCATATATTGTGTATCATTTTATAGGTCACATACCATGCTGTCAAAAGACGAGTATATCATACTATGCGTACAGGAAGCTCATTTTCTATCTCAGGGCACAAGCTGGTGTAAGTGACAGAAGGCTCCATGACAACAGAATTAAGTTGGAGACAGCTGATCATTGAGTGGCTGTCTGTGTTCTTGAACTGCTTGTAGACTCGGGGGTCCTGGGCCACATAGGTAGATGAGGTGGAGTAAAGGAGTAGACCCAAAATAATAAAGAAGAATGACAACAGGTAGAGGCCAGAAAACTGAAAAACAAAGAAGAAAAAAATTACATGCTTTCGAATACTTTTCATTAGCAATTTTTCAACTTACAAATGACAGGGTTGAAGAATTCTGGACGTGAAACCGGCCCGCTTGACAGCTAATTAGGTTGTATGCAGCCCGTGGACCAAAATGAGCTGGACACCCTTGATTAGAAGCATTAGTATTTAACTAGTTTTTATTATTATATCTGATGTTGTGTCTGTTGCATAATTCAAATAAACTGGAGAATTGTTTTGGAGAATTAGCACCCAGCAAAATAGCTGTGTGTTAGCAGTGTGATTTTATGAAGCGAATTAGCTGCATGTAACCGATTGGTGCTATAATTATATCAGTCTGCACCAAGACTTAGTCAAGTTTACCATGCTAATATCTTTAGCCTAGCTTGTTTAGCTTTTTCGTCTGTGGCAATATTACAATTACTAAGTTTGTTGTGTTGTGACCTTTTATTAAACTGCTGAGTCACAATAACAAAGAACGACTACTCCAAATAGATGTTTTATTTACTGCTGTCAACTGCCTGAGTTGACAAATATGGCATCGGCGCAGTTGTATTCTAAGTCCCAGCGCTCTAAGCTCCCCAAATACATGGCCTTTACTCAATTGCATCACTAGAAAAAATAAATAAATAAATTTGGCGCTTTAATCCAATACCATACCAGATGTAAAAAAGGGGCATTAGCCAAACTAAGCAAGGCTCTAAATGTACGGTAATCCCTCTCCTATTGTGGTAGTTGCGTTCCAAGACCCACCACATAGAGCTGTATAATGGCGATGCAGAGCGAAGTGAATGGAGAGAGTGGCCGTCAGACAAGGGGATATGCTAAGAGATGTTACGATGCATGAGCCAATCAGTATCAGGAACAGAAGAACATGCTCAATTAGCCAATTAGTACACAGAGTACGCATTGTATTAGCCAATAGTATGCTGTGTACAATCTGGTCAAGGTAAACAAAGCTACCAGCGATCGTTCGCAAATGCGCTCATTTCAATTTCAAAAAGAGAATCCACATTTTGAAAGCCAAAACTTTTGTATGTATAATTATTTTTTGATATAGCAAAAATTTCATAAGATTGGATAAAAAAAAATCCCACGATGTACGGAGAACCGCGATTGCTATTTTTTGCGATATAGCAAAAATTTCATAAGATCGGATAAAAAAAGAATCCCACGATGTACGGAGAACCGCGATATAGAGAGGGAACACTGTACATATATTTTTCTGTCACAACAAAACTACATAGGATCTTTGACCATCACCTTGTAGTGAAAGAGAAAAAAACCACAAAAGAGGCTGTAGAGGTCAGCTGTGAGCAATGACAGATTCACCAAGGTGGCACTTGTCCTCTTCATCACTACAGGCATGAAGCTGTACAGTCCGAACATGAAGGCACTGAAACCCACGTAGAGAAGACCTGCAAATGTAACACACACACCAAGTCAAAGCATTATTTAAATGCACGACAGTCATTCAGTATTACAATAACCATGGGGTACAGGGGTGTCGAACATACGGCCCACGGGCCAAACTGGCCCGCTAGGGTGTTCAATCCGGCCCCGCTTGATGAATTTCGCAAATAAAAAAATACACAATTCCCTCATGTTCAGGATATTTTTTGTAAAGTTACACTTCATTAAATATTAATATATTATAATACATATAATATACATACATACATATATATATACAATGGACTTATTGTTATTTGTAGTTCATTAGGTTATGATTGTACTGGTCTGGCCCACTTGACATCGAATTAGGTTGTATGTGGCTCGTGTCCCAAAATGAGTTTGACAACCCCGATGTAGTACCACTTCCCTGGCCAGAAGATGGTGCTAAATTCACATTCGAAAGCACTGTTCTACGATTCACATATCCTGGTCTGTTATTGTTGTAATCCGATAAACTCAGTCACAGCTTAAAACATCCATGATAGTTACTGGTTGTCCACTAATTATAAAAAAATGCACAGCATTCAAGATGCCTAACATGTCAGTTCGATGAAAATGACTAAAAGTTAGCCCAAAAAATTAATCAACATTGCACAGTATCGTTTCAAAAACCAAACCTTTTGCACAATGATATACAATATATCATTGTGCAAATATACAAATGCTGACTTTTGTTCCGGGTTCTTGTGTTTTTCCCCAGGAAACACTTTTGCACAATGATAAAATATACAAATGCTGACTTTTGTTACGGGTTCTTGTGTTTTTCCCCAGGAAACACTTTATATTTGATGTGGTACATTACCTATCTGCCAGTCCCACGACACCTTTAGCAGTTCCTTATGTTCCGTGATTGCCCTGTAACAGACAAGCTGCTGATAGGTAACATGCCGACAAAGAATGAAAGATATTTTGACAGGGTTTGACGTTGAGAGTATTTGAAACATTTATAACATTTCACATCTTCATTATTTTCACATTGACAGCCACTAGAGGGCACTCTACACCTGTGTACCAGTATCTGCTGCTCCTGTACCACTGAAGATTTTACATGTTCATTATTTTCACACTGACAGCCGCTAGAGGGCACTCCAGCTAGCTGGTGCGACTTATATTCCGGAGTGACTTATACCATATTTGTTTGTTTATTTATTCATTTTTTGACAATTTTTTGCATGTACATGGACCGTGTCTACGTATATGCAGTCTGGACAAGGAATCCAGACTCCAGAGAGTTTAGATTTAAACAACTGGAATTCTTCTTGAAGCTTGAAAGACGTTCCTCAACTGAGAAACTGAGGAAGTTCTTCGGTTGAGGAACAAAACGTCTTTCAAGCTCCGAGAAGAAATCCAGTGGCTTACAACTAAACTCTTTAAAGCTTTAAGAATTAAACAAACAAATAAAACACTTACAGCTGGAAGCCACTGAAGAAGGATCCAAAGAGTCCCAGCATGCCAAGAAACTCCACATGGCTAAGATTCTTTACAATGAACTCCTCACAGACGTTGGAGATCCCGTAAAGTGTTGCCCCTCCGAGAACTAAGAGATCCCCGAACATTTTCTGGTCTCCAATGCCCACTAATGTGAACAAAAACAAAAACAAAGAGATGTGACAAGGGATAAGACAACGTTAAAAAAAATTATACAAATGGTGGTTGTCTTTATATTTTTTTACTCTCTCCGTATTTTACGGACTATAAGTCACATTTTTTTTTTATCATCCTTTGGCTGGGTTTGCAACTTATACTCAGATGTGACCTATATATTAAAATATACAATTTCACATATTGATTATTTTCACACTAGAGGGTACTCTAGCTGGCTGGTGCGACTTATACTCCAGATTGACTTTTGGTCTGGAAAGTACAGTACTTAATCTCTTAAATTTTGCCTGTTGTTCTGCGCTTTGGCCCACGACTTCCAACCGTGCCATAGCAGGCAACCACTCCTGCTACGGTGCGGCACTCACGCTAGTCCTAGAATACGCTGGTCCTTCATTATGCATCTTTTGCCTTGTGCGCGGCACTCACGCTAGTCCTGGAATACGCTGGAATTCCTTCATTATGCATCTTTTGCCTTGTGCGACCTATATTCCAGAGCGACTTATAGTCCGGAAAATACGGTATGTACAATTTTGTTATGACTTTAACCAAATCCAACGCGGCACTTTAGAGACTCACCAATGCCCTCCTGCCGACCAAGCATGATGTCAGCCCCGATCATGCAGCCAATTCCGAGAAAACTCAGTCCCATGCTGAAAAAGTGTACAGCCTTGTACCTGACCAAGAGGAAGAACCAGGATAGCAGCAGGACCACAGGGATGACAAAGCAGTCTAAGAGCTAACAGGAAGGACACAGAAAACAAAAACATCTTAGGACGCCAATATCCCAATCAACATTTGTCAAAATATTTCAGAGGCATGAATGTGATGTGTTAGAAGTGTGATATTTGTTCAGTGGTACTAGCAGGGATAAAAGACTCTCATCATATGTCATACGTGACATACATAGATATGGTAAGCATTTAAAAAATATAGGTTAATGACCCAAGTTGGACACAATAGGGCACTGTTGTTTGACTGTTGATAACAGTGTCGGGGATGTTCGTAAAAGGGTAAATATATATACGTAAATAATATAATAACTGTCTAGCCTCTACTTTTTCACTTTTCGCAGTGGGTCTTGGAACGCAACTACTGCGATAGGAGAGGGATCACTGTACAGTATATTAGTTTAGGGTTGATATCCTAAGATAGGGGAGTCAAACATACGGCCCGTGGGCCAAAACTGGCCCGCTGGGGGGTTCAATCTGGCCTGCTTGATGGATTTTAAAAAGAGTTTAAAAAAAAGCACAAGCTCTTCAAATTTAATTAAATATTAATATTGTCGAATAAACTTCTACCGATTTGCATAAAAAAACAAAAGAGAAAAACATGGACGTGGTTGTTTATAAGTAAATTATGTTATGATTGTATTGGTCCGACCCACTTTCAGGGTGCATGTGACCCCTGACAGCCCTGCCCTAAGATAAATGGATACAAATTAATATTTAAAAAAAGTCACACAACAGATTTTTTTCAAAGCTAATTTCAAATTCCCTTTGGGTTCCTAACAGTTATATTCTTTTTAGGCTTTTTATATAATGATCCAAACCAGTGTTGTTTCAAAATTTGAACTTTTGTTCATTATTTCAATTTATATATACCGCATTGGCTGGGTTTGCGACTTGTATATATATATATATATATATATATATATATATACACACACACACACACACCTCTTTTTTTCTGTTAAAAAAAAAA